GTGGTTTAATGTACCTTGCAGTCTGTACAAGGCCTGATATCGCGCAGGCTGTCTATAAACTCGCACGTTTTATGTCGAAGCCTGCCGTTTCACATTGGGAGGCTGCCAAGTCCGTCTTGCGGTACGTTAAGAGCACATTAGCGTATGGTATTGTTTTNTGCGGTTCGCAGTCTTTGGTGGGGTATGCGGATTCTGACTGGGCCAGTGATCCAGATAGTCGGCGATCCACCACCGGCTATGTCTTTATTCTGAATGGGGGCGCCATAAGTTGGAAGAGCAGGCTACAACCTACTGTCGCTGCATCGTCGGTTGAAGCCGAGTACATGGCTGCTGCGTCAGCAACGCGGGAGGCAGTTTGGTTGCGTAAGTTGATGAGGGATTTGGGCTACGAGGTACGGGCCGTTGAGATCAAGGACGATAGTCAAGGTGCTATAGCCCTGATCCGCAACCCCATCACGTCAGAGCGGTCAAAGCACATAGACGTGATCCACCACTTTGTTCGAGAAAAGGAGAGTTCGGGTAGTGTATCGTTCCAGTATTGCCCTTCTCACGATATGATTGCAGATGTGCTGACGAAGCCGTTGGCTTTGGTCAAGTTTTCGAAATTCCGAGAGTGCATGGGAGTTCGTTGAGTTTTCTTCTGGGGTGTGCCAGAGTTCTGTCCGCGGGGGAGTGTTGATATCTCGTCCAGAACTCCTGCATATCGTAGTTTGGCGGGATACCTGTACTGGTTCTGGAGCGGACTTCCGAGATACACTTTGTATTTATGGCAGGGTCTTGCCTTTTATCCTCGCTCTAATCCCAGACCTATGTAACGTATAACGAGGTGATCGCTCTGTATTCGCTGCTTAGTTAACAGGTTATGAGCCCCGCGCAAGGATAGTGTCGCGGTCTGCCGGAACCAGCCAACTGCGGGATTGCAGTCTCAGGATAAGAGCGGCTCTGGTACATTTGAGCCTGGCTGCAGGCAGGGAGGCTACATACAGCCGGATTTGCGAAATGGCCGAACAATCGAAGCGGGTCCCGAAGTTGGAGTCGATCGCCGACTACCCGCAATGGGAGCCGAGGGCAAGAAATGCCCTGATTCTGGATGGTTATTGGGATGTAGTCAACTCTGCTCCTATTACCTCTGTCGAGAAAGGTTTAATGGCGAAGGCCGCGCTGATCATGATGGTCGGCGACAAGTTCCTTCAGGAGATTGATCAGTGCGCGACATCAGCTGCTGGATGGGCATATCTGAAGAAGATCCACAGCGAGAATCAGAAAGGGCACCAGCTACTCTACGACGC